TTTGTTATTTAAACCAATCATCGTCAATACCAATCATGTTCAATGTAGTCGATATAAAGTATGCTGTCATTAGAAAGGAAAAAAATTAATAACTTTGTCAAATTAACAATTGTAAATTATGAGGAGTAATATGTTTCTAATTATGGACGATAAGTAAAAAAATACTCATGCGTTGGTGCAGAGTTGCACACAAATTGTGCTCAATATTGGATTGAGTGGAGCTGGTCTATGCGTTAATTGCATTGCACTGGGGCATTTGGGGACATTGGTGCATTTGGTGAATGTTGATGAAATTGATACTTTGCTCTAGACGCATGTGTGACGCTGAGTAGCGTACTTTCACTCGTCGACCTAAAAGGGTTATAAATAGTAAAAAAAAAATCTAAGTACATTTAATTTTGTTTTAAATGTCACGTCTCCCAATTTTGCCGATAATTCCTGACGGCGTTGGTTACTCGGTCGCGCTGCAACGGCTCGTGTCGGAGGCGCTACTGCGCCACGGGAGACTGCACTCCCCCTTCTCCCCTCGCTCACGCACAGAGGAGGGACTGCTCCCAGGTAGAGAGGGGGCGAGGCACAACTCGGGAGGCGAAGCCCCGAGCCCGCGATGACCCACGCCAGGACCCACTTACGAGCGCGCCCCGTCACAAAACGCCGCGAGCATTCCGCTCGTGATCCTCACGTTGCCCCAAAGCCACTGAGTGCGTTTAGATTTGCCAATTTGCATTTCACTGCCAGGACGGAGCGATGATTCGTACCACTCGTCCAATATTTTTATCCTCCGATTAGCACGATTAGCTACGTGCAGTGCAAAATAAGTTCGAACAAAGATGGTCGCTGCGTCGCGCGCTTTCACACGCACTTCTGCGACCGCCTGGAACACTCTTCGTTTTCGATGCTAGGAAGCCACTGGAGCTATGCACTTTTAAATCTAGACTACAACATCATTTCCTTAGAACTGCTTTTAATGTTGAATTTGTTGTTCTTTCCCCACATCTCCGATTAGCACGTTTGGCTACGTATGATGCGAAATAAGTTCAACATACCAACATACGGCTCCCCCTCGCTTGCCTCTCCTATGCTCTCCCCCCTCGAGATGGCCACGTTAGTCTCTGAGTCACAGAGACAGAGTCACTCCCAGGGGCGGTTTCTTCATTAGGGCGATTGGGCGACGCACCACCAATGTCATTCAACCACAGAGTCATGCTAGCCGTCACTGCAGCCTCTGGATATAGTCCAATCAGCGTCATGTCACGTTCTGTGGAGTACCGCCTCTTTTTGGGCGATTTCCCTTCAGCTGACTATCGCCCCGAGTGGTCCCCATAGGACTTACATTCAAAGATGCTTTTTTTCGAACGGGGGTGCTGCAATGCATTCTCTATGGCTTCCGAGAGGGCTCGCCCTAACGTGCTTACGTCATCATACGTGCTTACGTCATCATACGTAAGCACGTTTCATCCAACAATATAATTTGTGGCTACCTAGTGGAATCTTTAATAAAATAAACTTGAGTGGATTGTTTTAATAGTGAGTATAGAAACAAACAAGATGTATTGTAAGAGTCACTTTATTTTTCATTAATATTAAAGAAGTGAAGTTGCCTTTACATGCTTAAGCTGTTAATTTATCCATTGCATGGGTGGACCTTATCCTTATCAATCATCCAGACATTTGCCCCCCCTGAGAGATTTTGCAGGAGCCGCCACTGGTCACTCCCATCGGCCGAATTAGGATCCTAACTGAGAAGCAACTGTGGCTCGACTCTGCGCCACAGAACGGACCCTGTGCTCTTCCCCTTAACTGTTCTCCTTGACCCTTGCATCCATACACACCACGATGAGATGCCCAACGCCTTTCCCATCCACACGTGGTCAAGGGTAATCGTGGCACTCGAGTGTAGAGGAGTGTGTTTACGTACTATTGTAGAGAATTAACACCAATGCCTCGTAATTTCGGGCTTTGCTTTCGCTTGAGGATAATCATCATCAGTGTGTATTTGCTCGCACGCCTATGGTGGCCTTGAACACTAAATCATTGCTAGTAATATTTTTAGAATGTAAATCGGTGGCTGATGTGGCAAATGGTAGGTTTCTGATTGATTGTTGAGTAAAAAAGGCCATTTTTCCAACGAACAATAACACAAACAATTAAGCCCTTTTTTGATTGCACTGCTCTGTGGGCAGATACACAAAAGGCCGCGTACATCTTGATAAAATGCCAGAACGCATTGACAATTTTCCTCCATTATAGGTAATTGAGATATCGCCACATAATAAAACTAAATATTCTCCACCAGATCTATCATGCCTAACGTCTCAACGCAACTCATGATCATCAGCCACAATCTTCGTTGCCATCTCTCGCGGTCTTGCGATGCCGTTAATCCATCTCGCTTCTGCACATTGCCTGATCGCATCGTTCTACCTCCGCGGTGGCTGTGGCGCTATAGGCATACTCTCTCTCTCTCTACCTCCTCGGGCTGCCACTCCATCGCCGGTCTTAACCGTCAGTGATATTTTGGAGCGATGTGCGTCCTGCCCAAGCCGACTTGCATTTTCACCATTTCATATAGTTCAGCAGTTCCACTGCTGGATTCTATTTTTTCCGCCTGAGGACGACCGCTTGTGTTGCGATCGAAACGTCGTGATATATTTTATGCCTACGTGACTTAACCGAAAGAACCAAAGAGCACTGGTGTACAGTATTGCGTTTCATTTTTAAATTCAATTCTCCAAAAGGCACTTCAACCTGCTCCCACTCACCTCTTAATTTGACCATTTTCATTCAAGTCCACCTTCAATTAATTCTTTAGATGTACATACAATTTAAGAGGCTATTCATACATTCTAATCATGATCTCATTTTTCCTGAGTTACCATGGACGTGACAAATTAATAATTATCGTTTATCTTCAACTATTAGTAATGTTGTTTTACAATTTCGTAAAAAATATAAATCCTGATCTTTTATTATTTGATTATCAAAGTAGTTATACTGAGGTTTAATTGTTATATGGGTGAGAAAGTATAGCCTTCAACAGGAAATTATAAATAAAAAATATATAAATGCTGCCGAAATAATGCACTCTATGAAGGTTGTTGGACCCATTGAGGTTGCGTAAAAGACTCGTATTCTCATGCGGAGAGACAGATATATGAAGGAGACATTTAATACTGATCCATTTTTATAATTCTAAGATAAAAATTAGCTGAAAGGTATCATAGGCATTGCACAACCAAGTTGAGGTTGTTATCCCCCAGTAGAAATACAAGGTGAATGAATCATGTTAGACCATAATAATCGATGCGATGATGATGATGATGAATGTCATGATGAACAGCGTGATAACATGAATGTTACCGTCGCTGATTATGATGTGTGATCACGAATTACAACAGCATTAAAGAGAAAACATCGCAGGAGACATTCCCACCAAGAGCGTATAAATAACGGCTGCTCATGGGCAACGGTGCTGATTGGGTTATAATTAGGTTACAATTGTAGATGTGCAAGAGGAAATGGGAGAACTGTAACATCGACACGCAATATGCACGGTCCCTGCTGGTGCAGCACCGTGTGTGTTGGCAAGACGACGTCAGTAAAACTGGCAAATGCGATGGGTAAAAAAACAGCAGCGCTCAAAATAGAAAGATAATTGCAGCCGATGTGTTTTTTTTTAAAGTGTGCAAATAAAATATGATGGAGGAAAAAAAAGGAGACGACGCACTTTTTTTTGCATCAGGTTTTGTGTGGCGTTACAGAGAATGTGCAAAGTGAGTGCAAGCGCATTACAGATGTGCGCACAATCGTCCGTCCCCAAGTATACTTGTCGCCTTCTGGCTGGCCATGAAACAAAGACGATCACCGCCATCGCGCGGCGCTTTCAGATGCGCTCATGCTGCCGTCTGGAATGCTCTTCCTTCTGATATTACGAAGCTACTGGAGCTATGCACTTTAAAATCTACAGTAGATTGAAAACGCATTGCTTTAGAACTGCTTTTTGTGTATAGTTCTTACTTTCCCCGCACCTCCTGTTAGCATGGTTGTCTATGTACAACCACACCACCAAGCATCCCTTTGCAGAGTGATGCGTACATCTGCTCTCAAAATTCCATAATTGGCGTACAAATTGTGATTTAAATGTTTGCCCTTCTTTCATTCTTGCTCGACCACAAGACTCAATATGTCATGCCAAATAAAGTTTTGCTTAAAAGACAACACATATCCATTTGTATTGTTACGCAGTAATAATACCCATAAAGCTAACCCATCGCTACAAAAAACAAGGCTAATTCAAACGTGTTTGATTATGGTTGGAGTGGATTGATTGTATGCTGTACTATGGTACAGTACTGTACTATGTACATCACTTTTGTTAATCCACTACTGGATGAGGGGCTCTTGCTCATGACCTCTAGGTCATGGGGGTTATATGTCCAGACTTCTCCACGCTGCTCAGGGGAAGTTGGTGAAGATGGGAAGCATAGATATTGCAGAATAGTAGAGTACAACACTTGATTTTCTGCACTACTCTCTGCTGACAATTTAGTCCAACAGCAGTCTACACCACCTGTTTTATACAGAGTGGTCTTCCATCCAAGCGCCATCAAGACTCAAACCTGCTTACCTACCTGTATCTGATGAGATCGGGGTCATTCTGGGTGTTTTAGTCATGGGGCATTCTATCATGTAGAAAATCCAAGACTTAACCGTTTTAAAAAGAGCTCGAAAATGTGTGGACATTATGCACTCGTGATAACCTCGGTTATACGAGTTGCACGTTCATAAATGCACTTCCTCGTTTATATTCAGTGCCGTTCACTCGTGTTATAAAAAAAAAACTGTGCGCACCTGTAAAATGGCAACGCATTTTGCCGAATACGAAAGTAACCTTCTCCTTCAGTCTCAGCAAGCTGGAACAGCCAGGGGGTTAAACTCACAAAATTACAAGTAGCCTAAGCCTCGAGGGCAGAGCCTCGTCCGAGTGACTGCCATGCTTCTTACTGTCCGGCGATGTCGAACATCTTTTTCCGACCCTCCATGCCGGACATAGCCTCCACGTTCTTGCGCCAATCTCCAACTTCCTGTGGATATATAAATGACATTTCTTTTTTAATGAAATACAGCAGTACAATGAGAGTCTCACCATCTTCCACACACTCATTCGTAGGTAAAGTACCCCCCCCCCCGTGATACAGATTTGGTCGGGAGGGCTATGATGGCGTTGAGTGCCAGTGGACTAATCTGGTAACAGAAATGGCAGAGAGCGGACAACTGATTATATCGTGTCAGAGGATGTTTTATGTCACGTTCTCAACAATATTTCATGACTAGTCTACTTATAGGTGCATCAACATATATTGGGTGCACGTTCGTTTTACAGTTTGTTCCCAATTAGAATAGTCTGTAATTTGATAGAATGAGTCAGCGTTATCTTTATCTGAATTAAAAATGTGTTCAATGCATCCAGAAAGCATTTAATGGTATTTTAAAGAAAAAATATATATAAAGGACGCACACGTAGGCCTATTAATCTTGTCTGTGAGTATGGTCTCTTTTGGAAGCACAAATGCATTGTATCCATCCTATTTAATTTCGATACAATCTTTATTGAAATAAACAGTACTTATTTGAAGAAGAAAACACCTGAAACCCAGTAAATGTTACCGTTGCACTCTCGTACGGTGATAATGATATACATTCTATTGTAGAAAAATATATATATACTTTTTTACATGCAATTACATTCACAATTGTGCTACATATACATTATTAAAATAGATTATTACAATGTTGACAAGTCATAGGAATTAATGTATTGCTATCGCTATCCAATGTCAGTGTTTAAATATGTAGATTTTTTTTCCAGACTTGCTAAATGTGTTACACGAGTCCATCATGCACGGCCAAAACACCGCTGAATTATCTGCACTCTAATGCAATTAAATTCGTTTAGCAGAAAGAAAAAAGTGGACTTCACTTGCCCTGTCCGTGCATTTATCGCAGAATAACAACAGTGGCCGGAGGTCATCATAACCATGAGAAAAAAAGCCTTCATTTGCTTTTAATCACACCAGTTGGACATCTTAATGAAATGTCAAGCTGAGCATTGCAGTGCAAACTGCAAACTGGACATAGATGAAGATAATTTGTGAGCTGGAATTCAGGATCAATGTCCAACCCACACGTTTAAGCTTTCCCACCGTCAATGTTGTTTCTGGTGGAAGAGGCACAATTGCCTAAAGCGGTTATTGTAGGCGACTAATTTTTTTTTTTTACCAGGTAAGGCCCACTGAGCAATATAGCTCTTTTTTCAGAAGCCACCTCACCATAAATGATAGCTCAACGAAGTGGCTTATCATCACATGTAAATGTATATCAGCCAAATAATCTAAAGGCATGTTTCTAAATGTGGAAGAGAAAAAACCAGAGGAACCGGAGAAAAATCTACACGACCAATGGTAGAGAGAGAGACGCAAACTCCACATATACAGGTGTCACGCTCGGGGATTGAATCGACATCCTCCTGCAAACTCGGCGAGTCAAGTGAGCATCTCGCCATCCCTTTCTTACCTTCTCCTCCTTGTCGTCCTTCTTGACAGACTTGAGGTTGGCACGCAGGTCCATGGACACCTTGTGTCGGGAACCCAGCAGGGCACGCAGCATGGCATCGGCAGACATGCGCACGCGTCGCAGCGGGGGGCGCTTGAACTTCCCACGTAGGTCGTATATCTTCATTTGCAGCTCTTTGATCTGGGGGAGGATTAGGAGGAGGTGGTAGGGGGGGGGCAGTGCAAGGTAAATACGCCAACGCAATTACAGCAGCTGGTCGGCAAGCCGATAGAGTAACTCCTGCAGACAAAGGATTGCACCCATGCTTGTACACATCTGTACCGACCACTTGAAAAGCCTTATAAGTAATGAGGGAACATTGCTTAAATTGTAATTGTTATCACACCCCATGGTGTAAAAGGCAGTCTCCAACTCTTATTTTCCACTTGATCTCTCTACTAGCCTCTGCTTATGTGCTATGAAGAATGGCCATTTCCCGAAATATCACATATTATCTATTTTTCATTTTAAGTGTTATTGGCAAATGTCTTTAGTTGATTTCTCATAAGTAAATAATATATGTATGTATGTACATATAGATTACAGTACTTATTTTCATGTAATTAGCATTACGTTTCAATGTTGCATTCATCATGTTTGAATAGGTGAATACAGCCCTTTTAGTGTTATGTTGCCAAAGCTCCATTGAGGGTTAAATGTCCATGTTTTTGGAAATGTCTTTAATGGAATTGTACGAGGACGTTCAATATGTAAAGATGCTTCATATTATTCTGTGAGCTGTATCGCTGCTATTTCAGTAAAATACTTCATGGTGATTGGGTTACAATCCTGCTACTTGCGTAATATTTATCTGCCAGATTTTGCCGTGAGATGGAAGACGTACCAAAGCAATCAAAGATGGAGGAACCCTTGCACAACTGCACATTGGAAAAAGGAATTGTAATTATTTTTCCTGTGATGGCATTAACAATTGCAATGTATTCATGAATTAAGATTCTGTATGACAATTGTATAAATCATGGCGATGTTCTCTATGGGTGGAATATCTGCGTTTATGTAAAAATGCATTGTCTGTACTTAGCAATATGGTTGAAAAGCCAAGAAAACCATGGACCATGTTTATTTCATGATGTGCAGTTCATTTGTTTTGCACCCAACATGCACATACTTTTCATAAGTCAACTAGTAATATTTAATTTTATTAAATGTTTTACCCATATCCCCCATGACCGCTGATATGTGGTTAATTCCCACTCGTCTGTCATCCAAAATGAACCACTCAACATGACCCATGTTGGCTGAAGTTGGGATAAAAATGTATCGATAACCTCTAAGTTTTAAACAACACGTAAAAATACGTAAAAAGCACACTGCCTTTTTCTTTAAAAAAAAACCCATCAGCATTTCCTGAAGATGTGCATTGTGGTACTCTCGTCTTTGGTTCCCATCAAAATTCATGTAAGCAAATGTGACCAACTGACAGTGCAGTGATGCAGGAGAGACAACTGTGAACCAATTTAATAATTATTGGGACTAATGAGCATGGTAAAGTCACCAATGTTCACTGCTGCAAAGTCTACCTCTGGAAACTATGTATGTGGAAACCTTCATCCAGAATATACTGACATCTTCATGGTAACCATTCCGCACATTTGCAAAATGTTGACATAATTCATACAGTGAGCATCACAATGCATCTTCATTCTTTTATAAATGTAAAGTTATCCTTACATCCATGGTGCATACCTTGCCAGTCTCGTTAGTAGCAAAAACCATCACAAGAACACCGGTTATCCTCGTAGCGGCTTTTGGCTGCCCATCAAACAAAGACGGTCACGCGCATTCAGATGCGCTGTTGTGGCAGTATGGAACACTCTTCCTTCCAATATTAGGAAGCCACTGGCGCTGTGCACTTTTAAATCGAGATTGAAAAGTGATTTCTTTAGAACTGCTTTTTGTGTTTAGTTTGTTGTCCTTCCCCACACTTCCGGTTTGGTAAGTATGGTGCTAAAGAAGTTCCACATATATACATAGATTTGTGGAAGGTCACCACCGTCTGTTGTAACATGATACATCCGCTATAAAGCAGCACAGTCTAGAAGAAGGATACAGAATGTAAGTAACAGGGGTCATGTCCCAATCACTATGCAAAGTTTACTGTCATTTGACTCAGGTGACATCATTATGAAGAAAATTGTGAAAAAACATTGCAAAATATATAAATTTTACTTTTTACGTACCATTTAATAAGAGACTACACTCTATGCATTCGCCAGCTACTCAAATATTCAAAAAATACCTAAATCACAAATAAAATAGTACCTGGAAAGTCGCAATCACACAGTAAAGAGTATGGCTTTCTAGAGGATTACTGCATGACCACAGCTATTATGCATCTATTATATTTTCTCTTCAGTAACCCGACTAAATAATAATCCAAATGTATAATGTGCATTCCATTCTAGGATACCAATGCGCAGTTCATGGAAAGCAGGAAACAAAACAGAACCAGGGCAACCGACAAGACTAAAGAGGGAAGGCCACTTTAAAGATATGGGTTTTCAAAGTAGACTTGAATATATCTACCGACTCCGATTGCCTGATTTCAATTGGCAAACGCTAACAAAAGCCTGGTCGCAAAAACAGCGCGAACCTAGACCTGAGAGTGCTGACCAGTTGGAGATCAGAAGCTCTTAAGGACCTTGATGGAATATATAGATGTATTATTACCTGAGCCCTATTCTTGCCTTATAGGTTTTAAAGCCGTATAGGTTAATAGCAGTTTAAAGGCCACTGCTGCTGTGTACTATTCCTTCACTTGTCAAAAGCTTTTGGCAATATTGACCATGATATTTTACTCGCAAGACTTGGTCAACTAAAGATGTCATATACTATAATAAATGGTTTAAGAGTTACCTATCAGACCGTTCCCAAAAGGTAAATAGTGATAACATCTCGTCCACAAATATTAAAATCATGTGCTGGGTCTAATTCTGATGTCTTAATATTTAAACAATCTTGGACTCAGAACTAAATCTCTTTGCTGATGACACTGCCATGCTAGTATCGTGTAAATCTCTCAACGAAGTCAAACAGAATCTCAAACATGATTTCGACCTAATTCAATATCAATTGTCATTCCTAAAATTGATGCTATGTTATTCAAACAAAGACGCAGTTTTATTCCCTTCACCTATTACAGATATCAGAAACAACATCAATGAATAAATGGAGTGCTTCAAATACTTGGGTTTACTGATTGATCCAAACTTACATTACGACCCCATATTGATCACATTTCAAAGAAACTCAAATTTATTTTTTACAGAAACAAATGTTGTTTTCCCATTCAATTGTACCTGCAAATTGTTGTGTTTGACTACGGTTATGCTGCTTACAGATCAGCTCCTAATGAATCACTAAATAGACTAAACCCACTTAATCATTCTGCGCTTCGATATGCACTGGATGTACAATACAGGACCCACCATTGTGACCTCTACTTAAAATCGAATCTCACATCACTTGATGCAAGAAGAAATCTACTTGGGGCCCTGTTCGTCCGTAACATGCTTATTGGCAAATCTGCACTATACTTAGCTAATTCATCAACCCCATTGTCAAACCCAAACAACCTAAGACGTCCATCTAATTGGCTTTTAACTATCCCAAGAACAAGAATTGGAATCGGTGACAAAGCCTTTGCCGTTGCATCAACAATGCTTTGGAACAAGCTTGTTTCCTCCCTTAACATTGTAAATCTTCCTTCAAAAATATACTGAAGCAGAAGATAAGTGCTGAATACAACTGCATTTGCAAATATGATTTGTAACTTTCATTCCTACCCATGTACTGTATCAATAGTTACATTTTAATGTGCTGTTCTCTTGGTGTGGTCTGGGACTGTTCTTGCTGTTGTTTTGCTGCCTTATGCAATTTGACCCTATACACTTGATCGATTTTACGTATTTATTTTTTGCAATTTGCTCACTTTTCCTATACTTTGCACTCCTATCGTTTTTTGTATTGTTTGTAGTTGTAACTTTCTGACCCGCCCCTACTGGACATCTGTGCAAAGGAGCTTAAAAGCTCATGGGATTTATCCAGGATAAAAAAAGATTCTGATTCTAACTGTAAAAACAATTTTTTGCTTGCAAAAATATTGAAATTATAATACCACAGAACAGTAAAATGCAAAACAAGTTTCGTTTATGTAAAACATTTTAAATGTTACGCAGTTGTCTCAATTGACAAACTGATTTCGCGTTGCTATGGATCATTGTGGGTAAAACGAAATATAAGCAGAACTCCATTATTTGTCTCCAAATATCAATAAAAAATATGCTTTAGTCCATCAGCCTATTGGCTTTCCATGATATTGTCTGGAAAGCCAATAGGCGGAGGTAACAAATAATTCCATTGCACGAAGGCTGTGAGTGCAGGGCACATCAGCTGAAAGCTGCAGCTGATATATGAGGACACTTTGGTGCTTTCCTTGGTGGTCTGAGTAAGATCATTGCTTCTGTGTTGTCAATATATACTGTATATATTTATTTAGCTGCTGTATTATCAACATTAAAGACCTAGTTTGCATTTTGATATAAATGCACCGCCAATTAGCACGGTTGGCCACGTAGGGTGCGAAAGAAGTTCAACATACATGCAAATACAGATTGATAGTTTTTTTTGTCAAAATGTCTCAATACCCACTATTTTCTATCCACTTGGCTTTCTTTTCTCTCCAAAGCATCATCCGCCAATATTCTTTCAGGCCATGGATCTATTAATCTGAAGTTAAACAAACTACAGACTTAACAAGTAGCCACATCCAACATTTAGATATGAATTGTGGGTGTGCAAGGCAGGCACAACAGCTGTACTGTTACATGCATGCAATGCAAAAGTATGACACAGACTTGCTCCACCTGGTAGTATTTACTGAGTTTTCTGCCCCACGGCAGATATGGAGTGTGTGTTTACACAGGAACTTCCTGATATGATGGTGTTGAGTTTGGTCATGTGACCAGGAAGCTACGAGTTAAGGGTCTCTAAGTCACGAGGCCAGGCTGGGGTGTCAGCCATTACACAGAGTACAAAATGGAGGCACAATTAGCGTCTTCGTGAAGACAGGTGCATCTGTTCATTGCGGGACTTTAAGAAGCATTGTCTGTAAGTTTGTTTATGTTCTTATGATACTGGGAATGCTGTTATAATGTTCGGATTGCCGTTATATAATGCTGTTAAATTGTTATGATGAATATGGGGCCTAGTTAACAACGAAGCCTGCCACTTGCATTATTGTGAAAGTTCTTTGTATTTAGATAAGACGAGCCAGACTTGTGCCCATGTACCTTGAATGCGATCTTGAGAGCAAGGATGAAAACGTATCTCATCCACAGTTCAGTGGTATATGCAGCACTGTACATTTTGGCTGCAGTATGGTGATTACACAAAGTGACCTTATTTAACACAGTAGCTTATTCTTTTGTTGTATATCTATTCAGTGCTAATGTAGGTGCCTGGTCCATCCAGGACCTAATGTTGAGATTCGTGTTATCTAAGACAATGTTATGATGCTGCAGTGTTCATTCATTGTATTGATATTGCAAGTATTAACATATGCTGTATTTTGTGTTGTGTTTTTCCACCAGTTTTACCTCGTTATATTCATTAAATACGTTGGAGTCGGATGTTCACCCTGGCTCTGAAAGTTTATTGAACGTGAGGTTGACTACTCAGTGGTGCAACGCAGCGCACAGCGAGGCCGAGACACTGAGCATTGGAGGTAAACATAATAATAGTAATACAAAAATGAATATCTGATACGGGAAAAACAATCACACATTCCATATTATTGTATATTTTAGGGAGCATAAATGTTTATCTATCAAGAGTACATTATCACACTCACGACACCTGCATTGAATAATGTTTGTCAGGATCAGTGGCTCTGTTTCTATTCCTTTATCTGAACACCACTGTGGTTTTTATAATAGCATACCACAAAATCTTACATGTGCCATCAGGTGTAAACATTTGGGAAGATTATTCTGAGCCTCAATTATGACAGTGCAGAATATATTGAAGAAAATACATTTTCGTGTCCGTAAAATGTAAGTTTAATCACTAACTTGCCCATCTTTGCGGATGCATTCCCCACATAGCTCTGAGTATGAGGTGCGTTCATGCAATGTGGCGCCATACGGCTGTGGCCGAAGTATAACTCATGATCAGACGTGTGGTGACGCTTGTGAAGGGAGATTTGTGGCATCTCATCCTAGAGTCTGTGTGCCTTGATATGTGGTTTTCTTTCAGCCTGTCACACATATGCTCAAGACTTCCCTTGGGATGGTAATTCGCTCCTACACAATAGCCAGCTCAATGTCGGTGAACATGACTGCTCAATTTTTGTACCTCCTTTGAAATTGCCAAACTCTTTGAAAGGACACGATATTAACTGTGGCAAAACATGTGCCTACTTGAGCTTCTCAATACATTTTTGATGCGCAATCTTGGTTCCCTTGCTCCATAATAAAAAAGCACTTGGGTAAATATTTGTCAAGGAGGATATTGCCACATTTATTTTGTGCAGTTTGTGCATTAGTGGTCTACCCACCTCAATTTAGAATTAATCTCTGGAAAGCCTAACTGGGATCAGAGTAGAGTTGAGAAACATTCTTCATTGGGCCAAAAGACGGATGGCGAGGAGTTGATTGCAAGAGTTGTATATTGGTTTTTATTTCGCATTATAACATGTCATCTTATTTATTAACTTTTAAAGAAGAACATGACTATTGCAATGTGGAGGAACACGTTTGATTTAAAAGACGATATGCTTAAAATATGGAGGACAAAAGGTGTACGAAAATTGTTAAACCAATTTGACTTATTTGAAAAGCACAATTTGAGGCTACAGCATTACAGTATTGATATGCGATGTGGGAATTTAATGTCAACGCAGCATCCCATTGCAATATCAGAGCAGTGGCTTTTGGCTGGCCACCGAACAAAAATGGTCACTGGCATTGCGCGCTTTTAGATGCACTTCTGCGGCCGTATGGAACGCCCTTCCTTCTGCTATTAGGAAGCCCACTTGAGCTATGCACTTTTAAATCTAAATTGAAAACGAATTTCTTTAGAACTGATTTTTGTGTTTAGTTTGTTGTCCTTCCCCCGCACCTTGGATTAGCACGGTTGGCTACGTATGGGGCGAAAGAAGTTGAACATATGCACATTATCTTCGAAAATAACGCAGAGGAACATCCACTCCACAGGCGTTGTTATGCCCATATCCAAATAGCCAGATAACACACCAACATTGCATCAATATTGACTGATGAGCCAGTGATGTCATCATTTGCTGTGTATGGTTTGCAGCAGCAGCTATATTGCTATATTTATTCACATTACTCGTGTAATGTGAATTATAACCAGGAGTCATCGCGTGTGCTTTTATTAGAATGGGCTTTGATGTTGTGCAGCCATTATATATATTGTATATGCAGTTGTATTGTATATATTGCAATATTGTATATATCTCATTATGAAGAGATGCATTATGTACGTATGTTAAACTTCTTTCGTACCGTACATAGCCAACCGTGCTAATCGTAGGTGCGGGGGAAGGACAACAAACTAAACAAACAAAAACAGTTCTAAAGAAATGAGTTTTCAATCTAGATTTAAAAGTGCATATAGCTCCATTGGCGTATTTTCTTATATATAAAAAAAACTCCGGGTTTCTTTACCGACTCCAAATAATGTGCACAGATATGAAATATAATTGAAATGATTCACAACACATCAACAATGTCGTTTGTTCTGTCACCTCTTTGTCGTTTTTCTCCACCCTGACTTGCATGTCGTATCTCTCTTCATCCACCTTGTCGATGGTTTTGTGCAATTCCCTGCAGAGATCCTGCGCAGCGCAATTGCCGACACACAAATTTAAGCGCACAAGGGCACATTTTGCACCATACGCGTTTCATTGTGAGAGCCAGCATTTCAAAAATTATATTTATTTTTTCTCCGTTATTCTTTTTTGGACCATACATGTTTTTATTCATTACATTTTTGGCCACGCCGCCATATATATATTTTCCATTGAACAGCACACCAACCAATTTTTGACTGACTTTAACATCTTTTAATATTAAAATACTCCACTGTACCGTTGTGTGATAAGTGCGTATGTATATTGAACTTCTTTCGCACCGTACATAGCCAACCATGCTAATCGGAGGGGCGGAGGAAGGACAATGAACTGAACACACAAAGTGTTGGTTAAGGCTTCCTTGGGCGGATGCTCTAGTTTATATTTTTTCAAGTACAATCCATGGTTTAACAATTAGTTATCGTAACAGTCCGGTCCCTTTTTCATCGGTTTTGTCTAAATTTACAACCAGGGAAATGGCTTGAACAACATAGCCAAATGTCAGTGCAGTGTAAATAAAAACAACTATTTGTGTTCAAGATAATTTGGATTTGTGTTTATGATGGTGTAAAGATGTTCCAGCACGGGTGAGTCTTAAACTTGGACTTTATTGTGTCTTTAGCACGGCGCGTAACACATCAGGGAATTACACCGTTCAGACCCCGAGCCCCTTCTATCCGCTCCTATTATGCTGTTCCAAATCCTTTGACGAATTGTTAACTACCTCGACTGGTATACAGGAGGCCGTGGGTTGAATCCCAACTCTGACGCCTGTATATTTAGAGTTTGCATGTTCTCTCCGTGGTAGCGTGACATTTTCTCTGGGTCCTCCGGATTTTCCCTCCACATTTAGAAACATGCGTTAAGAATATTTGGCTGCTATGAATTTCCACGTGATAAGCCACTTCGTAGAGCTATCATTTTTTGCCAGATCCCTTCTGAAAAAGAGCTAAATAGCTCAGTGGCCCTTAACAGGTGACATAAAAAAAGTTTAGTTAATTGTTTTTTTCTCTGGAACTTTCCAGACTCTCAACTAATCCCTCCTCCTAACGGTCTCCCAACTGAACCATCATTTGTAGCCTCTTTCAAGTGACTGTACTATGACTGCCAATCTGATCTGAATGGTTCTCCAACTTTCAATCACATTGTGTGCTGCCCCTCTGATAGCTCCTTGCCAATGAGAGTCGAGTGTGCTATGTGAACTCAAAAAGCCATTAGGCCTGGTGAGTATATATTTATTTATCTAGTTCACCTCTTGGTGTTCCGTACAATAGTAATGCAACATGGCACAACATCTGAATAATCTCTGTCGATTGATATGTGCCATTGTTGATACAACACACTGATCAATTCCAATTGCTACTGAGAGGCCGACCATGTTACTTGAACGAGTCTTAGCTGCTCATACACCACACCACTATGCACACTGCCAAAATGAGTATACATTATGTTGCAACTCGAAATGAAGGACGTGGGCAGGTGCTCCAAATCGAGGGCAAGCACATTTATTTATTGTGGTTAATATTAATATTGGGAAGAACAGCACCGTCACTCTGTAAAATGCAACAACACGTGTGTTACAACCAGCCTTGCTCCCGAGCCGCCATTAACCATGTGACTGGTATATCCGCGCGGTCATTCAATAACCCTGCCAGCCACCTACAGGCCCGACTCAGCCATCACATGCTGCTGTACACACATGCATTGATGCACTGCACAGCACAGCAGGACTTTCACAGAACCACACTTTACTCCCTTGCTGCACAAGGACATACTTAAAAGAGTGGTCCATTTCTAATGTGCCACAATTATACCATTTGATTGAAACGTAAGTGATTTGTGTAATGAACATTTTTAAAATGCAGTAGGTGGCTTTTGGACTTATAAAATGATTAGGTATGCAACAGATCACATACCTGCCATGGTACGCATACACACGGACAGTCAGGAATTGTGTCAAGGCCTCAGATTGGTGCAGGGAGGCCTCAAAGAGGATTGGCTAAGCACAGATAATTGAAGACATTATTTGGAGAGAGATTCAAACGTAAAAGGCGGGAAACGAGGATTGACTGTCAGAGGAAAGGTTGACAACCACTGTAGAAGGAGGACGGGGATTGGCTGAGGGTAATGGGGTGAGCGAACCTTATAGAAAGGTGGCTCGAGGGATATTAAAGGGGATAGCACAAGGGGAAGGGATGGTTGGAGAGAAGACCAAGTTGGAACCTGAAGAACTGAAGTCCGGGCCTCGGAAGAGTGTTGCTGTCCACAATAAAGGCGCTTAGTAAAGCAGGAATGTGTGTTGGCATCACCACCTACGTTGCATCTATGTAATAACAGCCATAGAGGGTTCACGTGGGGATTGGCTTGCCGGTCCTGCTTGTAACCAATGAGGGTTGAGATAGGGACCATGACCCAGGCGTGATCACGACATGTCATCAGGAGTGATTGGCCTAGCCATTCGGGGCCCCAGCTAATGGGGAGCCGGATGAGGGGCGTGGTCCCGGGATTGACAGGGAACCATCGAGAATGGTCGAAGCTGTCCATGAACGATTGGCTGGGGGGACCACGTGATGAAGGCATTAAGAGAGTGAGAGAGAACGATCGTGAGCAGACTGAAGCTGACAAGAGCAGGGTCACGCGCGGACGGGGGCTCTGGGTGCCACGTGCGCGGTGGGGACATAGTGCGAAGTCTGTCCTCTCTCCGTTGTCTGCCAGCAACATAGAGTGAGTGAGCAAAGTGTATTGTGGAGTGGAAATAAAAGGACTGATTCCGAAGCCGTCTCAAGAAGGATTATTACACCTACATGAATATTATTAATTAAGGCACTGCATCGATAGCGGTTTCCAAGCTTAATACTGTATTTACAATTATATCAAATCGTAACGCACACAGTATTCACTCTCAAAGAGATGGGCATCCCAGTGGCGAGATGTTAACTACCTCGCCTGGTATACAGAGTGTCGTGGGTTTGACCCTGACCCGGACGTCTGTATATTTGGAGTTTGCAGTTCTCCCCGTGGTCGCGTAGATTTTTCTCCGGGTCCTCCAGTTTTACCCTCCACATTTGGATCCAACATGCGTTTAGAGAATTTGGCTGCTCTCCATTTCTACATGACAAGCCACTTCGTTGAGATATCATTTGTGGCCAGGTCGCTTCAGTGGACCTTGCTTGTTAAAATTAATATTACTTTAATAGCCTAGTTTGAAACAGTTTAAATAGAATGACTAGTAGGCACGTGGAACCACAGACAAGTGGGAAGGCAGCGAGGTGATGAGCTGACGTCACCACTTGCTCAAATTTTGTGCTCATCTATATATTAAAATGTTTTCAGCCAGAAACCGGTGCACTCAGAGATAACTCACGTGTGCGAGCGGGCAACACTATCCCATACGGACGGAACAGGTGGAGCCCACATTGTTTCTGTACGGCATTCTCCAGACAAGCCAGGGTATGGCTCATTCCTCGACGGCCACGGGAATGAAGTTTTCACAACATGTGTAATCAACCAACCCTCGCCTCCACCGTGCCAGGTTTCAGTAGTGCGCAAACACTACCCGGCTTGTTCTAAGGCATCGTCAATAGCAACAGTAGTGATTTTGTGTGTGCTTGAGTAGCCGGTGTGAGCTTGCCTGTGATGAACCACACGTATAATTGTGCACTGCTAGTTGCTACGGGAAGCCAGGTTGGATTTTTTAATGATTATTTACGTGAATGCAATGGTGATGAAGGATTAGGAGGCACGGCTAGAATTTAGATTTGTGTGGACATGGTGCCTGAGCAATTGAGCTGCGGTGTTGTGATGTGGAGGGTGTTTCTGATCGATTTTGCAAATATGCAAATTGCTCCTTCTGAAGAGGACTTTTGAAATCAAATTTTGCCGTTTCACAACCCCCCTCTCCCCCACCCTGGTGCTCAGCTATTGTGGAGTCGGCCCACTTCTCCGGAGGACAGAACACAACGCAGAGTCACTCCAAACTTAATTATGTATTATTGTTGTTATTGTTGTCTATTTAGCCGACCCGTGTCCCCCCCCCCCCCCCCCCGTCTCGCAAGCATTCACAATGGGAGAAGAGGGGGCGGCTTGCACCAGCTACACTTGCTACCACTCTCAATGCTGTCGCTTCAACGTTTTATTTGAATCTCAGCACAACAACTGTGTACATTTATTCTGAAGAAGACCTTTCTGCCAATGCGCCCCAAAGTTTTTGAGAAAGTAATTGAGAATGAGATGCGCACTTTATTGTCACTTTTCCAAGAAAATGTGTTTTGTTCCTTACTCTGAAATTGTGTGACGTCAACTACTGTATATTTATATTTCTGTAATAGAGCAATAATAGCGAACTACAAGCATGCATTGACACGCAACCTGTGGATTAATCCTCATCTGACAACGAATCTAGTGGTGTAGTTGCCTCTACAGTAACATACTTATCGAGACAAGAGCATGGGAGGAAGAGATTGTAAGAGGAGTCGTAAACATAAAACGTGCAACTGCATTACGCGTTGGCTTGAAGCTTACTTCCCTGAACAAAATACAAACCCAGTGGAGTGGGTGGGGGGGTTAGCGGTAAGAAATCAATTGCTCTCTCACGTAAAAGAGCTTAAATTGCCAATAACGAGGCGGGTGGAGTGTCTCGGCCACTATAATCCGAACACTAAAAACTCATCAGTATTTGCCAATTAACACCATTGGCTGAATTAATGCAGCCATTTTGTCTGTAAATGTGCCTCTTTTTGGTGGAAGGATGAGAGTTTTGTTTTGTGCAAATGCGTGTACGTTACCATTTATGCACGCAGACACCGCCGCCGCTTCTCGTGCCAAAATGTAGTGGTGGGACGGCCCAATTCAACAACGGCATGGCCGTAATGACTTCTTGACCTTAAGCGCTAAACACTGTGTAATTCAACTGCACTTTTGAATGAAAATTGATTTAACATAAACTGCACTGGCAGTATAATAACCGCAAGCGTGTTTTTATTTTCTCTCACGAAGGTGGTGTATTAAACAAGCATTATGATGATACTATGTGATATTATTAATTCGCTGTATAATCAGAATTAATTAATCAATCCAATATATTTAACACGCCATATTCAGAAAACATTTGAGACGTGCGCGCAGATGGCACTGAGCAGATTAAATGAAATTTCACGAAAGAGAATTGAAAAAAAATCCGTCTTGTCTTAAAAGCGCCGATTATCACGGCTGTGGGGAACTTCATTTGGCAAGAAACCGCATGAGATTGATGTAAATGTCTGCGTGTGAGACAGCAGCAGAGGAACTTGGGACCAATACATACATTAGACACGAATGAGAGTTCAAGCGAAAGGAACCACAGACAAGACCACGCAACACGAACACTTCTCTGGATGACGGCTGAAGACTGACAAGGCTGACCCAAGCAAGAACCCCAATGCAACGAAGCTCTGTCTATAGCCCGTGGATACTGCGGCCGCTGCCGCCGCGAGAGCTTACTCGTTCCCCTGCTGTGTTTTGCACGATGCTCAACGGAAGACTCCCGTCTGCTCCGTATATTACCTGTGACGGGGTAGGGGGGGGCCTATTCGGAGTGGAGTAATTGAAGGTCGGATAAACTACGGTGTTCACGCCAAAATAAATCAGTATTACCGGGTAACGCACACGAAAGGTGGCGCCCATCACCACGTCTGTGCAAATTGTCACCGTGATTCAACGCTTGCATGAGCCAGAGCGGGAGCTATACAATTACACCTCACGTTTGTGGTATCGTAGGGCACGATGGTTTACATCCTCACGTTAGCAGTCCTCGCAATTTCTGGTCTCTGGCTTAATAATCATCGATTCTCCCGTTTACTGGCACAAGTGATTTGGTAGATAATGATCTCTATTCTAAAGCCAGAATGCTTGACTCCTATGTGGACATAATTGTTTTTTAAAGGCAAAAATCCACCATTAGCCTGTTAATATCTCAGTTATAGATTTTGTATCATGATTGCTAATATTTCCAACTATTCAAGAGTGTATTTGTAGAAATGGCCAGCTGTGCAGCAGAACAATTGATTCTTGACAATTGGACACATTGTGAAATGCTTTTACAAGGTCAGATTTTTCATTGATTTTTAGTTTTTTGGTGGGGAGTTGAATCATACCGTGAAAACTGAGTATACCAAGCTTTGCTGATTGTGAGGCAACACAAGGTCTAAAATCATCAGGGATTGAGCAACTGATGTTTTCGTGAAAGCACGAACAGCACATAGCACCGTGGCTTCCTGCTCCAAGGGTCAGAGGAATCGCCGACAGATGCCTCACACTCTTTCTTGCCAATTGGCATGTTGGGCTTTTGGACCTGTGTTTGTTTTTAATGGACGAAGAACGTCCATTAACGACTGAGCTGATTTGTAATTAAGAATGTTGGGGATGAAGATTGCCCCATGTAGATTTCTACGCAACTCCACACCTCATACTCTTAAGCCCCGCAGTAATTTAATTAGCCATTTAAACTAAAGTTACATTTTCAAATAATCATATGTTGCTCTGGCCACTGCAAGAATATAAAAACAATGCTAATTAGCCTAGATATACTATGTAAGGTGTGGATTAAGCGTGTGCTATTTATAACCATCACCACAGCATAATTTCTAAATTATCACTTCCGTTGCCGTGGGTTTTGAATGCTATTTAAAGCAAGAGCGACGATAATGTTGTACACCACTTCACCGTTAAGTTTGTTATTGCAACGATGCTCTGACTTGTTATTTGAATAACCCACGCAGCATGGTAACGCATTCTCAATTATCACTGTTGTAATTAGGGGGGAGACTAATGGGATGACTTTTTTTAAAGCGGCGATGATTATGGCTGTGACGCGGCAGCAGAGGTGACCAGCACCACCCCCTGGTGCGCCAAGGCCACATGGACAGAGAGTGGAAAGCACACCTTGGCTGCAATGCAGTGTGATAGTGCACATTTACACTCATGCTCACGCAAGACAAATATCCCTCGTGTAGCCTTAAAAGACTGTTGGGGCAAGTGCTGTTAGCAAGCACATACGAAGCCCGGCACAGCACACGAGGAGGTGGGTGGCCAGCACCACGCCCGGCCGCCTTTGTCTCCCCCAGTGAGGATGTTTACACATCATAGCAGATACTCATTTTGAGTCTGGTTGACATACATTCACATACTCAGTCGTTTGCAACGACAAGGCAGGAGCAATGAATGCATTCAATTATCAGTTATGGCTCATTGATGCACATTACAATACTCTCTTTGTGTACATTACCGCCTGTGTACTTGTCAACGACGGCAGGACACACTTAATGTATTTCAGTGCCGCCTGCGCGATCGTGTGAACAGCCGCGCTGCCTAAAGGTGTTCACGCTTCGCCAACTAGTGGTGTGGGGCGGTTTGCTCTGCGTATAACTGCGTGAGAGCGCATTGCGACGTCTCGCCAAGACCTGGAGCCTAACTCAGCCACGGTTTGCTTTTTTGCTGCTGTTAATAAAAAAAAATTGTTATCGACGTTTCGGGATTGCGTCTCGTTTCATTTATTGCGGCAGACATGAACGGGTGGCGAGGGGTCATCACACAGTGGAGGTCGAGTGTAATTCCGCAATCCTCTTGTATTTACTGCGTTGAGCGAAGGTCGCGGCAAAGCATTACACTCGGGATTTTGCTGAGCGCGACGTTTTCACACGGCCACACATGTGGAAGAAGTGCGCGCATTTTTGCTTTTTCCCCAAACTATTCCCGTACACGATGACTGGTCAAGACCTAGGCTGTTTGTAAAACGACAAGACGGACGCAAAGGTCTTGCCGTCATTTTCAGTGTTGGACAAAATAAGCTCGACACTAAAGTTATCTTGTCAACAATTAATCATGGACCAGGCATTTTTTTGGGCATAAAATAGAATGAAGATTTTCGTTATTTAATTAACCCACCAGCGACAGGTCGTACTCTTCTTATACCTTTGCAGCAGCAACAACAACGACTCGTTTGTGTACGATGAATTCCAAATGGTCACTCCGCAGTACCTGCAACTCCTGGCCGGAGAGATGGGAGAGCTCCAGCGGAATCACATTGTCAGCCATGTAGGCGGATTTCAGTTCCTCCCGATCATTTTTCTCTTGTTCCAGTCTCTCTTTGGCCACAAGCAGCATCAAGCCCTACACACACACACGCAGCCAGGTGATCATTGCCGATGAGGCGTAATGATCGTATTAAGTGCCAATTTAACACGGGAAAGTGGAATAAACAGTAATGAGATGCAAATGTCTTACCTCACGCTCCCTCAAGAGAAATGCATGAAGTTTATTCTCATTATTTACACTTTCGCTTTATAAGGGCTGTTAATAATGGTAATGGCTTTCGCGAGAATCAACATCCATATCTCGGTTTCCCCATCAATTGCTGCAGAAGCCCATCTGCTTGAATGAGCTGATGCATCTTAATGGCTGACAGGCTAACCCTTTACTTTACCCAGTCACGCGTATTACCACCTTATTTCCCAGTTTTTCAGGCAATAATAGCAAAAATCGTTTCACTGCTCAAACAAGCGTTGTGCTATGCTTACAATCCTGAGTCAGTGATTGGAAATAATTATGTACGTTTTTTTGGTGCATTTCATCCGTAGGCCACAATGCTTCCATATTAGGAATATCCACTTGCACGTGGAAGGTGCCACCAGTCACTCCAAGAGGATGGCTGTTGACCTTTCACAAATGTGTATTGACCCCAGGAGTACGGTGGACGAAGTCGACAGCTTACTGAGATTTTAACCCGCAAATCTTCTCACTTTGAGTTGGAGACTGTACAATTAATGCTATCTCTCCATTTCACGAAATTGAGGAAATTATGTGACCACTAAACCGCCGCTTAGGAAAAGTGATCTCTACCTTTCTCGTTGCCTACAGCTAACGCGAGTCGCGTGCACGCCAATATATCGGTCTGGATAAACCTTACAAGTAAACATGCACTGTGTTACACAGGGCAGCTGCCATGTGTGGTTGAAGTAGCAAATGAACCAAAACCTCGGAAAGCACTCCCACTGGAATTGCCTACATGTGAAACCTTGTTTACCTTTAAAGTGAAACCGCAAATTAATTAGTTGAACGAGACATTTGGTGATTAAACTGTGGTCATTTCACTGTTGCGATGATGATGGCGGCAGCAGCAGCAGCAGCAGTTGCTCGCTGTGTTAGATATAGTCGTGCTATTGGGTGTTTTAGGATAATACTACGTATTTTAAAGACAATCATGCAATGATCTTGAATGTTATATATCTGCGACCTTTCTTCCAACGCGTAGGTTTATTTAAGGCTGCTGACAACGACTGCTGCAGTTGAGTTCTTATAGCCTGCGGTGGGTAACGTTTGAGGCGCGATCTCCCTTGACGTTTTCCTATAAAATGGTTCGTTAGAAAAAAAAAGAACGAATAACATTGGTGAGGCCCTCCCAGAAGGCAGGCAATGACATGAGCTGAGCATAAAACGAGCAAATATGGAAAATCCACCATCCGAAAGAATAAATTACAACTCACAAGATTTGTGGATGTCACTGCGCCAAACAGCTGTGACATCATTACCGTGTACAGGGAACACCATGGGCCCAGAGGTCAAACAGTATTACAATACGGCATCGATAGACAATGCATACACTGCGTTATTTATCAAGAAAACGCATATATATATATACGTACATCGCACTCTCCTGCTTTACTATATTATCACTCAGCAGGTTTGCCGAGACATTTTTTTCCCGATACAATACAAAAAAAATGTTACTTCACGAGCTAAACAATTTCGCGATGTCATTTTGACCTTAACTGTGTCATTTATTTAACGTTTTTATTATCTTGTTTTGTGTGTGTGTGTTTTGATATACTTCAAATGTGAGTAAGCATTGCTTGACAGTTCTTCAACTGCAATCCACTCAACGTAAGTCTGCTACGAGTCCTTCTCATCATTGTAACCGTCAACCTTTGATGCTCATAATACCCTTTGGCGAGGCGGTAGTGGCTACGCATGTCTGTCATCTAGCACCCTTGAAGGAGCGGGGGTTGGTGGACTGCAGAAAGTGTCATGAAACTCACTCCCCGTGGGCATTGAGGCGTCATATCCTGGCTCACCAGGAGAAGGGAGTACAGCAATGTGGACTCCACCTGTTCCATCTGTATGGCATATTGTCCCCTCGCACGAGTGGGTTTCCTCCGAGTGCTCCATTCTCCTCCCGCGAAGTAAACATGCAATTGTTGGCCGATAACACCTTCATATATCGAGGATCGCAGAGCTCGGGGGAGAATTTGCCGCCGGCCCACTGCGTGGCTGCCTTTCCGCTCCCTCTTTGCTTGCGCCTCTGAATCGTTGTTTCTTCGAGAGTGAGTGAATACTGTGCAACGCATTGCACGTTGAAATCATCATTATGAATAATGATCACGTAAATGCTGTCAGAAACTGATGGTGGTATCGAATCATTACGCCGTCAATCACTCTGTGAAACGTTTTACAAAGCACTCATTTAATCGGCAATAGCCATTGTGTTTATAACATTTAGCTATTATTGTGAATGTACATTTTTTTTCGAAATCATTTTGTGAGGAAGTTAAATTTTTGGAAGAAGATTTAAAATGAGTCACGATAATCTACGAAATGGCGGAATTTTGTGAAACGGTCGGTACGGACGGCACGATCATCGTGGAACTGCTACGATACGTCGTCCTGTCGGCTGTTTTTGCAACCCTAGCACTCAGGAGTCGGGCCATCTCATCCAATGCCGCATCACAAATGCTGCACAGTTGACACCAAAACCATCCGAGATTAGCTTTTTTCAGTTCTCTCACCATCTCGCTGGAGACAGAGTCAAAGTAATGTCCTGCTCAAGTGAGCAATGGACCAGTTCTCATCCCTCATTTACAACCCTGAGCCAGTGGTAGACATTTCACATTCCTATGGCGGGGGCAAGCCTAGCAATGCGATGACTGCTGTTGATCTCCCCGCAAAGTGGTACCAATTGTATTTACCCCAAAGGGGTGAAAGACTGAAAGCTTTAGGCCTTCCCAGTGGTCAAATACGTCAAGGCGTCACTCCAATGCTTGTGTCTGTGAACTGCCCTCCACCAACCTGCCTCACCAAACATATCTTCCTATTGCTGAATAAGTATAACCTTGTTATCCGACCACATTCTATTACAAAAGGTTGCATACGCCATCCTGCCATGATATTCTCTCACATCCTCCAACAGAGTGATAGTAGGATACGTATTTTTCTGCTTACTCTTAGTATGTAATGAAGCATAGTCTCTTGATGCTATATTGTAATATTGTTTGACCTCTGGCTCATGGCATTCCCTACACACGCTAACGATGTCACAGCTGTTTGACGCAGTGGCGTCTTTTGAGTTGTGAATTATCCGAATATTCCCATCTGTCCATATGCTGTAGGTGTCATTGCCTGCCATCTGGCAGGGCCTCTGCGATGTTGTCCGTTCATTCTATTTGTAATTTATTTATGAGACACCTATTTATAGAGAATCCATCAATAAGGTTCACACCTCACACAATACACAGAGCAAGAAACAAGAACCATACATAACACTCATTGACACTTACCATAAATAAACCAATGTGTTTGAAATAAAACCACTAAAATATTGCATTGCAGAAAACGATGATCTAATTATATTGTCGTTAGCCACACAAAATCAGAAAACACTTTGATAATTGTGCAAGGCAATCCAGGTAAAACATTTGGTTTACTGTTGCTGTCCCATTCATCATCACTGCATCTCATATGACCAACGCTTAATTAGCAAATGTCTTGTTAAAATTTTTAATTTTCACATTGATGGGTAGAAAACTCTTCTTTCTAGCGGGAGTGTGATCCGAGTCTTTGGTCCATTGCTAGAGAGTAACATCCTTCATCGGTAACCACGTGGCAGCTGCCATACAGACTTACACATTCAATTGTTACGTTTACATGGATATGGTTATCTTGCCTTTCAGGGGTCCTTCATTAGCTATGGGCATACGCAGTTGTGAAGAAGCAAATCCAGCCAGGTGGCTCAGTGTTTGTGGTTGGGATTTGAGGAGAGACTCATTCCAGCCATATGAATGTGGAATTCCGACCAGAGCCTGATTAAGGTTATGAGGGGCCTAAAGCTAATAGGAGGGAAAGACATATTGCAAAAATAATAATTAAGTAATCAAACAATTATTTATTTACCTATGTCAAATTAACAATTTTATTTAATTCAAGGTAAATTCATCAAACACAAATCACTCACTTCACAGAATTGTTTCTTTCCTAGCTTCAGCTGTGGCAAAGTCATGAATGCTGTCATTTTAATTCGATGACAAAAAATATCCGATGGCGCTACCATCGCTCAGCTGTTATTTCAACATGAAATGGAGGGCCTAAAAAGGATGGCCTACAGCATATGAGGGCCTAAGGCCTTATTAGTCTAAGGGTTAATCCGGCCCTGATTCCACCACTGGCTCAGAGCCATAAGCTAGATATGAGCACCAATGCCTCAATGCTTATTTGTGCAAAACGTCACTTTGCCTTTGAATTCATCTTTACCGATGATTGAGCGATGACAGCGTCACCCGGTCTACGGGATGGAGATGTCACATTCATTGGGAGAAAACTTGACATATACCAGATGTTACTGAGAGTTCATCATCAGGAAAAGCGGGGGAGCATCGTCTCTGATCAATGCTGTTGTGCTGAGGCTGTACTCCCTTGCAAGATTCTTCTCAAGAGAAATACAATGAGGGAAGGCGCGAAAGTCAATGACCAGAAGTTATTTTATCGTTGCTCTGTTAAATTCCACCTCTGATCCATACAGCAACTCATACATTATTGTACTGGGTTATTGTGTCAAATACCCATTTATTAACACTGATGTTGATACATTTACTCTTTAAAACTGGTTTATGTAACCCCCTACTATCTCCACATGTTCAATTCATACTGACGCCGGCACCATCAAATTACTATAAACTTAGTTCGAGGAAAACTTAACATCACGTATCGGCCTCCAGGATCAACAATCAAAACTACCAACGTCATGTTACCCCGGCCAAAGTCCTAGCTGACAAATCTCCATCTTCTGCATCCTCCAATTACGTCTCTCACGTTCAAACGACTCATTGTCATTTCTGGATTTT